ATGGGACCTTAGGTTTGCCAATCAAACAATTAAGATGGATCCTTCAAAGTCGATGCCTTTGATTAAAGAACCTGAAACATTATCGTAATGAAGCCGCCGGAATGGTGCGGAGACCTTCTGATGTATTCCGGGATACCACTGATGTGATATCTCATGTCAATAAAAATATATCATTTTAACATTTTTTTTCACACTTCATCAACCATATGACCAAATGAGCAGAAATGGCATGGTTTTATTGGTCGGCGATATAACAGAATTTATTCGGAATGGGACCGGTCCGGCCAAATTGAAAATACTTACAAAGGCGGTGGTGGGACCCACTTGAACGGCAAGTAGATGGGGTACTTTTGCTTCAAAAAGGAGCACCCTTTTGCTGTTCTTCTCCCTTCAAATATCCAATCCAAGACGTTCTCGCCTAAACTTCCCCGCTTCTTCTGTGAACTTTCTCATTCTCTGTATTTTTCTTGCATTGCTATCAATTCTTGAGCCTTTTTGCTCCTCATGTTTTCTCTCGAACTGTGGTGTGGACACATGTTAATGTTGTCGTTTTCTCTTGCTTAGTGAAAAATATTTTATATCTACCCAACAGTTTTTGGTCTCTTTCTATTAATTTCGTCCACGTTTGGCCCCATTTTAACATTGGGGTTTTCACTTTTGGTGATTGGAAAAGTTGGAAAGGGAACTGGGTTTGGCTCATAGGCTCTGACTGCTAAGCAACTGGAAGGAGAAGACTAAGGTTTTGCAAGAGGAGGTTAGTTTCTTTAGTTTTCCTTATGCACCCAGGTTTTATCTTCACTAGCTTTTGTTTGTTTCTGAAGAAATTGAGTAGAAAATGAAGATGATATGATAAAGCTACAATCTTGCTCATTGAAGGTGAAATGGGAATTCTCATTTTCTGAGAACTAGTCCAAATAGGGATTTGGATTCTCTTTACTGTTCTTGGTTGTCTGGACAAAATAAAGTGAGGGTGTTGATATTTTCCAGCTTTTGGGGTATTTATAAATATTTGTTTCAGTTTAGAGTATTGGTGAAGATTTAGACAAAATTGGCTTTTTTGCAATGAGTACAGTTGCTTGGAGTTTCAGTTTAGAGTATTGGTGAAGATTTAGACAAAATTGGCTTTTTTGCAATGAGTACAGTTGCTTCGAATTTCAGTGTTTAGTTTATTTCATCTATGGATTTTTTGCTTTCTGGGTAGCAGAAATGTGGCAACTGAGCAAAATGCTGCCCGTCTTATACTTGTGTTTTTTTATTGCTGTATCTTGTGCCTATCCTTGCTAGTGTTTAGTCGGAACAGTAGCTTTTCGTATCTTACAATGATTCTTTATAAGGTTTTTTATTTTGAAAGTCAGGTTTTTTGGATTTAGACTCTGATCTCTATCTCTTTGTCACCCCACAAATACACCCGTACAAGCTGCTTTATCATTGTATCTTTAGAGGTTTATAGAGTTTTAAAATCTCAAGTGTTTGATATGTTTCTGATTTCAGTTTCTTTCTGATTCTAGGCTGTGTATTTAAGGTGATCCTTTTTTCATATTTCTTTTATAGGATTTCATTTTGATATCTCATTTGTCGCAGAATAAAGCACCATTCTTTTCTTCTTAGTGGTAGAATGGCTGCAACAGCTGCTATGCCAATATCTCAAGAGGCATCCAACCATGATGAGGTTTTGATGCAGCAGAGCTTGCTCTTTTCCGATAGTCTCAAGGTACCATTATGCTTCTTCTTAAGTTTGGTCACTAGATTGTGAATCTGATCTTAGCTTGCATACAGGCTCTAGCTAGGATCCTTCTTAAAAGTTCAATCCCTTGGTTTCCCATTTATCTCATGGCTGAAACTCCATACTGCATGCTTTTAGTATTTTAGATATTAGAGTTCAAGCTTTCTTCATGCCATAAATAAACCAAATCTTGATTAGCAAAGTAGGACCTACTAATTGAAGATAATCATAAGTAATCTAATATGCTTTTTCTCTTAATATTTCCAAGTGCTGGTTGTGATTTAAGGTGTAGGTAAAGTGCATGTTTCTCCTGTTTCAGTTTGACATTGTTTTACTAAGTTTTGGCATATGTTAAGTTTCTGCAGTTGGCCTTCATCTCATTTTCTGCTTCAATCACATTTTCAGGACTTGAAAAATCTTAGAACACAGCTATACTCAGCAGCTGAGTATTTTGAACTGTCTTACACCAATGATGAACAAAAGCAGATGTGAGTTACTCTGGTTCCTTGCTTCTGGTATTTTAGACTGTTGCTGCTGTATTTTCCTTCTATCCTTTTTTTCGTAGTTTATGAAGAAGAGAAATCATTATATAAATGCAGAGTCATGGAAACATTAAAGGACTATGCCATCAAAGCTCTTGTAAATACTGTGGACCATTTGGGTTCTGTGACGTATAAGGTTAATGATCTTCTGGATGAAAAAGTTGATGAGGTTTCTGGAACAGAGCTTCGCGTATCTTGCATCAAACAGGTAAGGTTGAAATTTTGGTCATATTCAATAACTAATTATGACTCTAGCTAGCCTCCATTCTAGTAAAGATTATTGAAACTTCATATTTGGAAAGGTTTCTAGGAATTATCTATGGATCTTCTTTAAGTTTACATTAAGACCTTGGACACGGTTTGAAATTATGAGAAATTTTTGGTCTAAGTTTCCTTGCTTTCAGGGTATAGGATAGTTAGCTTCAGAAACTGGGCATTCTAAAATGCCCTTGTTTTTGTTTTTCTAATCTCTTTTGTTGCTTCTCCTGCTAAGACATTCTACTTGGTAGAGAAACCTGAGGTATGGGATTTTGAGATGTCAACATTATAGTTACATGCAACCTAAATATTGTTAAAATTGTCCGGATGATTTCTTTCCCTGTCAGAACACATTATTTCCAAGAAGGGCTCTAACATTGGAAAATTCATAAGTACTAATAGTTATTATTCTTTTTATGTATTTTAGAGGCTTCGGACTTGCCAAGAATATTTGGATCATGAGGGAATTTCACAACAATCACTGATGATAAATACTCCAAAGTACCATAAGCGGTACATCTTGCCAGGCAATTACCCTTCATTCCTTAATTTCCACTTTTATTTGATTAACATTATGTTTCTTTTTCTCTCCTCCCTACCAAAATGGTAAAAATGCATACTTTTGCCTGCCAGCTTGGGTGTTTACATTTAATTAAATTCATGTTCAGTTGGGGAGACCATGAATGGTGCAAACAACGATTCACAGTACCAAGGATGTAGTCTAGATGATGATGACTGGCATCAGTTTAAAAATGGTATTTTTTTTAACTCTTCTTTTCTTCATCATTTCTCTTATATTGTGCAGATTATGACATAACTTGATTTTTCTTTTAACTTGATTGTTGTCTTAAAGCTGTTCGAGCTACCACTAGAGAAACCCCAACACCACCACTAAGGTAAAGATTGTTGTTGAACTTGCTGATTGCATTTTTACCATTACCACTTCATTATTAGAAGAATTGTTCTCATCATAATGCTATTTGGTCTTCCAAGCAGAAAAGGGCATTCTCCATCACCTTCTCCACGGCCTCCACAGCGATCTGCAACCTTTTCATTTACTTCTACCATGCCCAAAAAAGAGCTAGGTTGGAACACATATTGATCTCTAATTTCTTAATGAAACTTGTTTTCTTGCTTCTTCATTATCACTGTAAATTTTCTTGTTGTTTATGTATATATTATCGATTTATATTCTAATTGATGATGTTTACTTGCAAATCAGACAAACGTACTGTATCACCGCACCGATTTCCTCTACTGCGTTCAGGGTCTGTTTCCAGGCCTACAACTCCAACTAAGAGCAGGCCAACCACTCCAAATTCAACTGCTGCTAGACAACGGGTAAAGATAAGATATTTTACTTTATTTACATGTTAGTTTGAGGAACAGGTGCCAATTAGTTTTTGCTAAGGTAGAAAATGATGCATACTCAGTTCTCGTTACGTCCTCTAAGTGTGATATGCTTTCTCTTGTCACAGTACCCCTCGGAGCCCAGGAAATCAGCTTCTATGCGTATCCAACCTGAAAAAGAGAGCCCCAAAGAGATTGAACAATACCCTAGCAAAAGTAAGCGACTGCTTAAGGCATTGCTCAGTCGCCGCAAATCAAAGAAAGATGAGATGTTATATTCTTACCTGGATGGATACTGAAGGAAAAAGACAAGAAGAACAGAGCGCCAAGGTTGTCAATTGCAATGCCCAAAGAGAAAAAGTGGTCAAAGAAAGAGAAATGGTGGATGATGAATCCTTTCCCTTTTTGAATGCCTTTTCCCCTTTATATCTTTTTCTTTTCATATTTGAATTAGAAGAGATGAATAGCAGTTTGATTTTTGTCTTAGAGGCATGCATTCCTGTTATATATCATACATCATAGTCTGCAATGTTGTATATTATATTGACACCGGGAACAATATTTAATATTAACCTTTTCCAAGTTTTATGAAAGGCAAATTTAATTTATAATATATCTATTGAGGGAGGAATCTCAACTTGCTCTATCTTCCTCTTTCTTCTAGTTTCTTCACAGGATTAACAGGAAAGAAAAATTCCAGGATGTCTTACTCTTCTGTCAGATTTCCAACCCTTTTCGTTTCTGCAAATCATTCATGACATGGGAAGGTCCTGCAAGGGGCCAATCTAGCATCTGATTTCAGAATTGTGTACTCACTATAGAGAAAGAGTTGCATGGAAAGGTCATTGACCATATGCCTCAGTGAACTTGAGAACCAACCCCTACAATAATTATCATCTTAAGATCTGAACCTTGAAGGGCAAAATTACAAGGACTTTTGAATGACAACAATAACATCTTTCATTTAAGTGAATGAAGTAGCACATAATTATACACATTCCCTTTTGTATCGAATGCCATCCAAAAGGTGGAAACAACAAAATAAACTAAAAAAGAAAAAAGTTGAAAAAACCTACAGCTTGACTCCTGGAAGAATTTGAGCAGGTAATACGGTATCAGTGTCAATTGCATTCCTGGAGCAAGTTCTTCAACTGTTGTTGTGGCAGGAGTAAGAATGTCAACAAAAGCTGAAAATGATGCACGAAGAAACCTTGCCTCTACTGCCTCAAAGTGCCTGTATCAATGCAAAGGCGTATGGGAAATGATATAGCATCAAACCAAAAGGTCCCAAGCAAAGTTTACGCAGAGAATGGACTAAGGTTGAATGAATAAAGTTTTGCCTCTATTTAATCATTGAAACTATACAATCAAGCCATCATATTAAGAACTTACAAATAAGGTTTTATTTTGTTGGGAAGAAAATAGGAAATGATAGGTAGTGTAAAGACATCATAAATTTGATTGCAGTAACATGATTATTACCATATATTCTCTAAATGTTATAAGGTTGAGAAACATTTTTTCTCTTGAAATACTTTCCCTCAACCTCTTCGTAACTACTCTGAAAAGCTTTTGAGAAAACTATAGAAAAAGATAAGAATCTTTGAAACAACGGCACTAGAGCCTCTACAAGCCTAACAACTTTCAGACTAATGTTCACAATCACATGGCTCTTAAAGAACTCAACTTATTAGGAGTAGTTGGTGCAGGTGAACATTTGCCCAAATATTATCCAAAGAAGTGTTAGGCCAGTGGTGGCTCCAACTGGATTGTTTTAATTTTAACACTGTAGGCAGTAGGCACTTTGGTACGTTATTGAAACCAAAACATGATGGCAATTATTTTTAACCATTAACACAAATACCAATCATACAATTCATGTAAAGTAATTGAATATATAGAAGATAGTTCCAATAAGGATTGCAAGGGAAAGAGTGCTTACACTGGAAGTTTCCCATTGGAGAAGGACATTTGCCTCTTCACTTTCTCTGGCTGCAACTGCATTTGGAAACAGACCGAATAAGGATTTACAGTGAATAATTAGCAAGTATGCCAAAATGGGTTTAGCATTGCCTGTTTATCACCGCCTTATCAACAACCAATGCTGCATAGACCATGGAAGCATACTCTTCGGAATCAAAATCCACCTCGGAGTCACTGCAGAAAGAAAGAAACGAACTTTTTAGCATCATATGAAATTCAATGATTCCCATTTTCCAGAAAAATCAGAAGAACAAAAAACCCGAGAGCAAAAATCGAAACTTTCATTGTATGACAAGATTTGGGGTGGGAATGAAACATCAAAGTAGGTAGAAAGCGAGAGGAATACTTACCAACTGAACTCCCACCGGCTCTGATCATGAGACATGTCGGTGGCGACAATGGCGGCCATGTCTTCTCCTTCAGTGCCCACTGTACAAAAAGAAAAGAAAAAAATGAAAACAATCAGATGGTAGGGCCGGAAGAGACATAATATGTCGACAGAACGGGACGGAAAATTGAACCGGTTATATGTATATTTTTTCTTTTCGAAAATATTACACTTGGGATTTTTATTTATTATTATTATTATTATTATTATTTACAATAGAGTCTACTGAAGTAATTGGGATTTGAAGTAATATGCACCCTTAACCTATTAATAATTTGGTATAAAAAATATGTTCTTAAGCTTTTGTAAGTTGCTACCTTTGGTAGATTAGTTTGTAAATTTTAACAGTCCACAATTTGAATAACATTTGGTCAAAAAAATCTGTATTATATCTTGTTTATTTTACTTGTCATTATATATATTTTTAGGTATTTTCTTAATAACATTTTAAATTTTTTAATATGTAATTTTTTTAAATAATTTCACTTTATAAAAAACAATTATCATTCATATATTATTTTTTTTCTTGGTACAATTAATAATGGATTACACTCCTCTTTTTCAAATCTTTTCATGCTTGACTTAAATTTTGAATATGATATTTTTAATTTAGAATTTCAAACTATTAGTTAGTTGAGGCACATTTGAGTGTATCATTCATATATTATATTATAAAAAAAATATCATCTAAAAATATATATTCCGAAAAGTAAAATAGACTAGAGGTATTAATTTAATGATTTATATTAAATGATTTAAAATTTTATGTTATACCTAAATAATTAATTAGTTGAATCATTAATTGAATTATTTTTTTCTTAAGTTGTATATTAAAAAATATTTTTTTTTTATTTTTTAACCTATCCCTACCAATATATCATATGATTTAAAATCAAAATCTTTTATTTTTATTAAAAAAATACTAATAAATTATTTAAATTATTGCTTCAATCAGATTGTTATGCATGCACTGACAACATCTTATGATTTCTTGGTCCCAAATCCTAATCAACACCGCCTGCTATCTAAAACCCATAGAAAGTCTAATATTGTTTGAGAGATCTTGTACATAATCTTTCAAAACTTTTTTTTCTTTTAAGGATATGATGTTTTTTTTTTTTAACAAATAAAAATCTTTTAAAAATTTTTAATGAAAAATATAATAACTTTGATTAGTAAGGAATAAAATTTATAGTCTTAGTTAAAAAGGTTTTGAAAGTTTATGTTATTATTTATAGGAAATCTTAGTATTTTACATGAGGAAGGTCCTTCGCAAGCAGATTTGCTCTTTTAAATAAATATATATAATATTATAAATTTTAATAAAATAAAAAAATTAATTAATAAATAATATGTAAAGTTATAGAAAAAATTATATAAAAAAATATTCCTCAATCTTTTTCTTAAAAATATTATTTGATTTATAAAAACTACATATATAAAATTTTTTTAATTATTATTTATTTCCTGTATAAAAATATTTAGTGAAAACTCACTTAAAAGTAAAACAATAAAAATTAAAGGTTAAAATATTAATTTGGTCTCTTAACTTTTAAATTTATATTAAAATTATGCCTTAATTTCAAGAAATATTAAAATTATTCATGAATTTTAATTTTTAATGCTAAAAGAGTCTATCTGTTAACAGAAATGTCACATAACTTATTTTTTTATTACAAAAGCAATTTTTTTAAAATATGAATAATGGGTAAAATTAAATAGTTTATATTTTGCCTTTATAACATATTTTTATTTATATATCATATTGATATATAATCAAAGTTAAAAAAATTAAATTAATATTTGTGAACAAAATTCAAGGATTAAACTATTATTTATTTTCAAAATTTAAAGATTAAATTAATATAACCTTCAAAGTTTGAGAATTATTTTAATATTAAAAATTAAAATTTTAAAATAATTTTAACATTTTTTAAAATTAAAAAATAATTTTAATATAAATCTAAAAGTTAAAAGATAACATTGGTATTCTAACCAAAATTAGAAAGTCCAGGAGCGAGGATAATGGTATCGGCAGTTTGGGCATAATGGTATATGCCAAGGGTTTATTTGGTATGACGCACAATTGTTTATATTATGTTATTTGGAAATATTGTACATCTTAAGATACATTCGAATCTTCTTTTTCGTTTCAGAAGCAACCACTTTTCCTTCCCCATTGATCACTCAATCCTCCACAAACAACCTTCGCAAATCAGGTACTTTCTCTCTTCCCTTCCTCACTAATTACATTCGTTTTCTTCGATTTTGTACTTGGTTCTTTGCAGCATCTTCTTTTGTAACAACTGTTCTTAATTTCTTTCTTCTACTATGCTGGTTCTTGATTGATTGAAATAGTCGCGATTTCTAAAGTCATAACTCAAATACATCATCTTCATGCTCTGCAACCATGATGAGTTCCTGGGGGAGGATTTCGTGGTTAGGATTGGATTATAACCGAAGTTCCTGTTGCTTGCTTGCCACCATTTTTGTTTATGTTCTGTTCCCAGCTTCAAGGCATATATGAAATTTAGGTAGAAACTTTAAAGATGAAACCATCATATATAAAAGATGTCCAAAGAGAAAACATGTTTGCAAGATGAAAACATGTATCGCATCATGTTGTTATTTGCATTCTGTTTTTGGCCTGCGCTTCAAGCATACATAAAACACATAAAGCACAGGGGGGGTTCTTTTCTTCAAACGTGTTCTTTGGGGGAAGATTGTTCCTAGTCTTCCTTCTTTTACATGACATGTTTGACCCAAAATTCAATCCAAGCGTGGAGGGTGGAGTTAAAACCATCCAGCCCCAAGCTTATTCCTGCACTTTGGTGTACGGTAATCTATACTGATATTGGCTTGTTTTAATGTCTGCCATTTACAAACTTTTTGTCATTCCAAACTTTGGTTATTCTTCAGTTGGTTTATTGATCAATATCCTGTTAGCTGGCTGCTCGTATTGTTGTGCCGCTAAGTTTAGAAGTCAATGGATCCCTGCAGAAGGGATGTAATCGGATGAGCAAATCTTCATTTTTGTTAAGGAATGCTTAAGCATAAGTAAACATGAGCCAAGTGAAGGGAAACAGAGTAACTTACCAATAAAACAAGAGGGTTGATTGACTATGTGAGGGTAGCTCCAACTCTATTTGGTTTTGAGCCTTGCAGAGCTCTTCTTCCATACTTCAATGGGATTACAAGTAGGCTAAATAGGTATAATAGGCAAATATAGATTTTTTCTATAAATAGAGTCCTTTCTCCCTCTGTGGTTCCACCAAATGATATCTTCCTACTCAGACATTCTGAAAAATAGTAACCAACAAATATTAGCAGATGATGATATGATGTCCAAAACGGACATATAATCTTATATATTGAATAGTCATCAAAATGAGGATATGTAGACTGCTTGAGGCTGTTATATGTTAATTCTAAGGAGAAGAGCTTCAGCATGATTGTAGAATCTTACCAGAACTTTCCAGGGGAAAATTAGTCCAATCAAGTGGGCTAATCTTCTTTTCTGATGCCTTGATCAAGTCAAGAAGAGCTTGATTAACCTAAAATTTTATAGAAGAATTAGTCAATAAAAGATTATTTTCCAAAGAGTAACATAATTAATTGAAATATTTAGAGCATTATAGCGATGTCACAGAAAGAGCAGCCCAAACAAGGCCATGTTGTAGGCACATGCTTTACCACTTCCTGCTTTTGCGTTGGGAAATAGATACTGTCTACAAGTCAATTTCATTCACAGTTATTCTGTAATTTAGATCATCAATCTTTATGCATGCCCTGACTTATTTCTCTACAGAATTCTACATGCATGGCATGCATCTTGAAAATGTTCTATTAATTCCACAATAAATTTTGTTTCTTTTCCTGTCTTCCACAATAAAAGATTCTTGAAGTGCACAAGATGCCACAATCAAATAGTCACTTCACAAGGCCCTCATCTATTTTACATTAATAGAATTACCTCTTCGGTCCTCTCATGACTGACCAGATGCCCCCCAGGAAGCTCTACCATTCTAGCAGCAGGCTGCAACTTCTCAGCAAGCCTCCTTGCATGACTTACTCGAGCAATGACATCTTGCCTGCATATTGATAGTGTTAAATTAGTTTAGAGCAATAGCAATATAGGTTTCTCAGGGCATCAGTCAGTCAAACTAAAATGACATAGAATGCATGATGATCTCAAGTTTTAACTACATGTTGGAATACAGATGATGGTGATTAAACTTCTCTACATGTTTTAAAAATGATCTGAAGATTAGAAGTGAGCACTCGTAAACTGCTCTTTGTTTTGATGTTCTGTCCTCTTCCATGTTTGATGTAGCATTCACCATGAACCCCAATTTTACCAACACTGAAAATACATCTGAGGTATAGTTTAGTGAACTCATATTTTTTATTTCTACATCAGAGGTTCAGCTCGTTGAGCTTGTCATATTTTATTTCTAAGTGAAGTTGGGCCCTTCAAGATGTTATAAACCATGCCAGAAATCATATTGCTCATCTATACTTTGAATAATATCATTAACAAGTCAACTCAAAAGTGTAGGCATGATTTTCACAACTATTGGCAGCAGTAACAGAAGTTAATTACCTTCCATGGACGATTGATAAAAGAAATCCACCGGTACGTATCAGTTCAATTTCTGTTCTTTTCATTTTATGATTCCAACAAGCATTGACTTGACCGTCAAAACCATAATTTGACTGCATCCCAGTGGCTGTTATACCCTTTACATATTCCTGCAAGGGAAGAGTGAATGTCATGAGAAAATGCAATTAATTCTTGGATAGTGCTGAACTACAATACCCGACTCAATTGCTTTGCTGATTGTTTATGTGATAACAACAAGATCACTGATAATTTCTTGAAAAGTTGAAGCAAAAGAAATCTGCACAAAAGACTGCTGGGAAACTTCCGGTAATATGATCAGATATGCCGGTCTTACTTAACAGACATGAGGTTTAAATCTCAGCATGATTCTTGAGATAAACAGACCATTTTAAATTATTTTAAAAAAACAAAACCAAAAGCAACCCGGTTGGTTTTCTATAGATGTTTCCCTAAGTACTCTATAAAAATCAGGACTTGCAAGTTGAAAAATCTGGTTGCATTCGAATGATGAGAAAGGAGCTAGTTCATCAGTTTTTGTTCATTAATACAACAATCATGACTTTGGACTTAAGTAATTTCTTACTTGATACAAAATTGATCTTCTGGTGTTAGGTCCAACATATTCCTCAAGATATTCCTGCAAATCAGACACGAGTTTATATGAGTTGTCTTTCACTGCAAAAGTGCACTTATTGAAGCAGAAGGAATTACATTTGAAAGATTTTTCAGCTGGATATATTGAATTTGACCACTTAGAATCGTGTACAACTCTCTGGTCTATACACAACAGGATTAGCAGGAGTAGTGATTGCATAATCTGCCATGGGTTCCACTTTCATGAGAAGGAAAGTGTGGGGCCACAGGCTTAGTGAACTCAATCATGCAGGAAAAATAGGCTCACACCCTCTGTATGTTTGGCTAGCAGTTCTCACCCGGAAATTGATGCTTTAGAAAACTGCTAACAAAGCACACTGCCCTTTAGATTAGGCAGCTACTCCTAACTTTAGTACATGATATCATTGTTATTATTGGTATAAGCAATGTAATTAAATATCACCTAGGTAAAATCATCACAATCTTTTGTTATTCTCATTCGTGATAGAAAATTGTCCGATCATCTCAATCCCTGGATTCAAAAAATAATGGCAAAAGTGAACAGAGAACACTTTTAACCTTTGTATAGTGTGTGTCCAAGTCAACAGCTGCCCTTTGTTCAGGGGTTTTTGCTCTAAGAAAACGAATTGCAATTGATATGGTCTGACGATCAAACTGCAAGAAGACAATAATAGTGAGATCTAAACCATGAAGTGCTATGAGGGACTCTTGCCTCTTCCAGCTTAAGTGAACTGCTAAGAAGATCATATTTGTGTGAGCCATGATCATCACTTTAACATGAATTCATATTCACTCCATAAATGGGGAAAATACAGTTACAGTTCATCTTCAGCATCACAATACCTTTGGAAAGCATTCAAACCCTCCTCCAGTGACATTAAGTAATGCCAAAGACAGAACTCTATCTGGCACCATTGCTGCAAGCTTGCAAGCAATCATAGCTCCTGTTGATGGAACAAAATGTAGGCAACGCTTAAAGAAAACAGATTCAAAAGCTCAAAAAGGTAAAAAGGAAAGAAAAATGTTGATGGAACAGTTTCCAGTTCACTAAGATAACCCTGATACCAACAACAAATTGGATAAAGGTTGCACTGAACTAGATTGAAACAAAAGTTACTTTTGCTACTACTGGAGAGAAATTGACCACATAAGGTTTCTTTGTAGCATCTACAGGAAATTAAAATGATGGATTTACCCATTGAATGCCCAAAAACATGGGCTTTCTTCCACCCCAGATGATCCAACAATGCAATTGCATCTTTAGCCATTACGCTTGTTCTGCATTCAGACAAACACAGGCTCATGAGCGTGACTCACAATTTCTACATGTTTCAGCACAACAGATAAGAACAAACATGGAAATTTTGGGTTGCTTTCAGTTTTTAGAAATAAGAACAAAAAGTCCACTTATAGTCCTGCTGCATTTACCCAGACTGAACAAACAAACTATAAATTACTTCAAATATAAACTCACGTATATTCCGATTTTATGGTGGGAACGGAACTTCGACCCATACCGCGGTTATCAAAGGCACACACCTCGATTCCACCGTCGCCGCCACCGCTCTCATTGTCGCCTCCGCAGGGTTTGGCATCACTGGCTACGGTATCATCTTCGTTTGGATTGTCGGTGCCCGTCAGACCCTTGATTTGTGGACCCCAAGAATCATGGGTCCCCGCCAATCCTGCTCGTCCGATTACCAAAACATCATGAGCACCGAAAACAATCGAGGTTTTAAGGACTAGACAAAATCTAAACAAACCTTACCGATGATAAGCAGGACTTTGGTTTGCCCACGACCGTACGTTCTGTAGAAAATCTGAATCCCATTGTTGAGTGCTGGGTCGGAGCTGCGTTCGTCGTTGATGACCTTACAGAACGGCATGATTGAATTCCGGCCGATTGAATTGCCTTAAATGCTTTCAAATTATTGATAATTTAATTATATACTTAATACTGTCAGAGGATTAGGTTGTAAAAAGAAAAGAAAAAAATAAATACAAACTTTTGTGTTTTGATCTGATATTCCGGTTCTGGCAATGAATTCTCAGATTCCAAAACGGAGAAGGAGAAAAGAAATGAAAAACCGGCGATGGGTACTTTTTAGGAGGAATGAGCGGCTGGATTTAGAGACGTGGAGGAATATGAGTGGAAGGCTGGGCGCCACATGGGATGGGCGGTTCGGCGCATCCTTGGTCAAATGTCAAAACTGGGTGGAGGATGATAGGCATTGTTTTAGAATTAGTGTAAAATGTCAATTGGTTCCCTTTAACTTTTAGGTTTGTATTATTTTTTTTTATTTAAAAAAAAATCAAATTTGTCCTTAAATTTTAATTTTTAATGTTAAAAAACTCTTTTCGGTAATAGAAGTGTCACGTAACTTTTTATTTTGTCACAAAATCAAATTTTTCAAAAAATACTAATTACATATAAAATTAAATAATTATATTTTATTATCGTAATATATTTTTATTTATATATTAAATTAATATATAATTAAAGTTAAAAAACTAAATTGATATTTATAATTAAAGTTTAAGTGCTAAGTTGGTACTTGTTTTCAAAGTTTAAGAAGTAAATTGATATTATCTTCAAAGTCTGAGACTATTTTGGGATTAAAAATTAAAATATAGGGATAGTTTTAATATTTTTTGAAGTTAAGGGACAATTTGAGTATAATTTTAAAAATTAAGGGACCAAATTGATATTTTAACTTTGAAAACTAAGGTCACCTGCTCACCTAAACTGGGTGGGGACTTGGTCAGGATTGGGGGGACTTGGTCAGAATTGGAGGTCCTAATTTGAACAGCAACGGCATTACCTGCTACCAACGCAAATTGATTTATTGTGGTAGGTTTTTTCAAACCAAAATATGAGGTTTGCACTTGTATGTTCGTCGCCTAATAATTATATGCCTAGTTCTAAAAGAGAATTAATTTTGGGATAATTTGTTGTATTATTTTTTAGTATAATTTAATATATTATTTAAATAATTAATTTTTTTTAATTAATATAAAATTCATAATATTAATTGCATTATTTATTTAAGGATATATAAAAATTATATAAAAAAATAACATAAAATAATTATTCTTATAATACTGTACATTCTAAAATGCATCCCAAGAGGGGGTTGGAATTCGAATTCCTATTTCAAAAAACTAATAACCTGTTAATATATATTGTAAGGGGAGCTCGTGGGCCCCCCATGTGGGGCACATTTGTGTATTTGGCCTCAGTGCTCTTAAGCGACTTGAGGTGGCCTCCCCAGGGATCGAACCCGAGGTCCCGTGGGACTCCTCCCTTAAGAGGATTTCACGGGTGACCCTGGTACCACTTGAGCTGGCCGGCCTTTTTTGCCAGGGTACCCCATGGGGCCGTTCCTGGGCTTGGCGCATTTGCGTATTTGGCCTCAGTGGTACGGGACCGACCTGAGGTAGCCTCCCCAGGGATCGAACCCGAGGTCCCGTGGGACTCCTCCCTTAAGAGGATTTCACAGGTGACCCTGGTACCACTTGAGCTGATCTCGGGACGGACTGGTCTCCGAATCCATGCCACCATACTCCAACGGCACTACCTCACTTCCCACTACACTCCTAGCCTCGTCTGAAGACATCTCAATTTCTGCATACAGGGGGAGGAGTGACGAAGTCAGGATCCTTAACAATTC